CTATCAGTTTGGGAAGAGAGAAAGAAACTATAAAAAAGAAGCTCCCAAATTTTCAATTCAGCAGAGATGAAGTTTAAGCTTCACCATATCTTATTTTCGCATCTCCCTTTGGGTCACACGGTACTATTTCGCACGACGTAAATGATAAATAATCGCAAACCATGAGAAATATCTGCTTGAAGCGTCCATTGATCCAAGCAAAGTAGGGCGTACGAAAATCGGTTCCTTCTGTCTCACAGTGAACAATGAACTCGGTCAACAATACAGTGAATTTCTGTAAGCTGATTCTAAATTCTTTTCTTTGTTTGAGAGACAATAAGATGTTCTCACATGAAGCACGTCTAGGAATAAAGATTTTTGAAAATCCTTCAGATTTTCAAGTTTTTCCTGTTGTTGTTCTAATTCTTCCTGTTCGCGTGTTTTTGTGCCTTCTTCTGTCTGCAAGTAACAGCAAATGTTACACCAACTGCAATAATCACGCAAAACAAACCTCCTCATTTTCCTCTTTCTGACGGTCAACTCTCTTTTGCAGGATTTTGACGTCGTGGGCAACTTTGTGTATGTGACGCGATAAACGCTCCAAAGCTGTGTTCAGCACCTCCCAAATCCACTGCCTGCGATTGAGCTATTTTATTCAAATTAGACAGATGAAAGATTTTCTCACCTGTCTGTCTCACTTCTGAGGCTTTCACTGAAGATCCATGAGATGACAACTCCACAATCCAGAATCTGCATTTTGAGCATTTTGTCCACCAGAATGATGATTCTCTAAAACAATAAGTTAAGAAAGCATTGAATTTTCCGTCAGCGTTGCTTGATCCAGGAATGAAGTGTGTTGCAACAAATAGCCAAAAAAATTGTAGAAACATTCACCAAATGATTATTTCTCCAACACTGAAATAGACAACACAAAAGAACTTCTTGCATTTCGTCTGATGTATCTGCTACCGTTTTGAGTGTAGTGCTGTACCTGAAATTGAAAAACTTGGGTCACGAAAGAACACAAGACTTCATTGCCTGAAAATG